GCCGAGCCGGTTGTTTTGATGTACCATTGTGGGGGAACTTGTTGCGGTTCGGGACACATTAAAGTTGAAGGAAGAGCGAGACCCTTTCAGGTGCATAAAGAGGTGCTGCCTTCAGGCGGTCCTCAACGTGTCCAGACACGTTGGAGCTGCTGCGGCGGCTCCTTATGGCAGAAATCATCTTCAGTCTGACGTGGAGGAGCTTTGGGAGCTTCTCTCTGTTTGCATATCAGAACCATCACATTTACATGCGTGGACTTCCTCTGAGCTCTGATTTCTCCTGATTGGTTCAAACGCCCACACCTGAGCCAGCCGCAGCTTTTATCAGCTGAGGAAACGAGCTGCCATCGCAGGCAGGTAGACGAGGACGAGCTGAGATTAAAAGATCTGACCTGGATGGAGCTCGAAAGACGTGAAGCTGCTTTCTTATCGAAGGCCCCGCTTTCCTCGGAGGAATGCTTGTCGCCCGCCACCTCGCATGCCACAGTTTCAGCCTCAGAGCGTCTCGTGGAGAGTGGTGGAGCTGGAGCCTGGGGGGGACTCTCGGCTACTAGGGCAGGGGGCGGCTGTGGCTCAGTGGTTGGAGCAGTCGTCCTCCAACGGGAGAGTTAGGGGGTTTGATCCCACCAGCAGTCACATGTTGAAGTGTCCTTGGGCAAGACACTGAACCCCTCACTGCCTCTGATGTGTGTCCCATCAGTGTTTGAATGTGTGTGTGTGTGTGTGTGTGTGTGTATGTGTATGTGAATGTGTGTGTGTGTGTGTGTGTAGTAGTGTGCATGAATGGGAAAATGAGGGCACAGATTGTTGTAAAGATCTTTGTGTAGCTTGATAACATTGACAGGTTCTATATAAGTACAGTCCATTTACTACCACAAACAGATGTGCTCAACATCTGGACATCTGAGTGAACAGTGGTTGGTTTTCTACGGTCAGTTGGTTGAGATTTTTTATCGCCCGCCTTCGGGTGACGGGTCACATTTCCAGATATTTTTCTTTAGTCAGGGTTGAGCCGTCAACATGATGGTTTTAGATTTCACCTGAAGTGAAACTAACGGACCAACGACTCCTAAACCTGGACGTCCAACAACACCGAGCTTCATCTCCCTGAACCGTTTTGATTTACTATTTAGATTTTTAATCTTACATTTATTACATTTATTATATTTATTTGAGTTCCATTGCAGTTATGTAGTCTTGATTTGAAAGTTTACCTGTAAGAAATGAATTCCTGCTGAAGAACATGACTGCTCGGTTCTGTTGGGTTCTGTTGGGTTCTGCAGACCGTTCCCAGGTTTGAGTGTGGCGCTGCACAGAAACGTGACGTTGTTCTGCCAGAAACCCGAGCCGCAGCTTTTAGCTTCGGAGCGACGGACTGTGGGGCCTCCAGACACAAAGTTAGTGAAAGCCGAGGATTAAGAGAAGACTACCCCCCCCCCCCCCCCATGAGACCGAAGGAAACGCTGGACAGAGATTTGTCTTCGTGCTTTTAGCTCGTCCAGCCGTGAAGAAACAAGTTTTAACAAAACAAAAACTGAAATGTTAGGTTTACCAGCGTCAACAAGAAAACGAGCATGTTGTGTAAAAAGACAGCGTGAACGATGAAAGGGTTAAAAAGAAACGAAACAGCTGGAAGTTAACAAAAATGAGATCAAAGCTAAAGTTTGATAAACAGCAGCTAAAAGCTAATAGCAGCAAAACAGTGGCCGAAAGATACGACCATCAAACGTGACTGAAAGCTAAAACCAACAAATAGAAGTAAATTCAAGTCAACTTTATTTATAAAGCACATTGACGACAGCAGCTGTTACCAAAGTGCTTAACATCAATGAGAGTAAATTAATGTGAAAAAATATAAATAACGATACTGAAAATTTAATTAAAACCATTAAATAAAAACATAAAAACCCAGAACAAAAAATACTCAATCACTCGCACTGTGAAATGCCAAGGACGTGTTTTTATCAGAGATTTGAACAGGAAGTGGCGTGGCCTGCCTCGTGTCGGGGGGGCACGTTGTTCCAGAGTCTGGGGCCCGTGACTGAAAAAGCCCGATCTCCTCCGAGCTTCAGTCTGGATTTTGGAACATTCAAAATCAGCTGATCAGATCCAGTTCAGTTCATTTCTGTAGCTCCAAGTCACGACAGAAGTCGTCTCAGGAACTGAAGAGAACGAGCTCAGGGACCGAGAGGGAACAGACGGTTCCAGTAGCTCAGAGATGTGAAGGTGCATTTAAGCACTTATAGGTCAACAGAAGAATTTTAAAGTCTATTCTAGAACGCACAGGGAGCCAGTGAAGGGAGGACAGAACTGGTGTAATATGCTCAGACCTACGAGTTCCTGTTAATAACCGAGCTGCAGACACGAGATGGAGGTCTGGCTGACATTACAAGTGCGTTGCAATAGTCCAATCGGGTCGTGATAAAGGCATGGACTAGTTTCTCGCGGTCAGGTCTGGACAACACTGGTTTGAGCGCAGCTCCCTGCGTTAACTGGAAGAAGCTTTTCTGCAGAACAGAGTTGATTTGTTTGTCGAACTTGAAGTCAGAGTCTAAAACCATCCCAAGATTTTTACCAGATTGCTTCAGATGTGGCTGAAGAGAGTCCAGGTGGACAGGATCAGAGGCGGCAGTTGAGCTAGGGCTAAAAACAATGACTTCAGTCTTCTGATCGTTGAAACTTAAACATTTTGAAGCCATCCAGGCCTTAATGTCGTCCAGACATTTTAACAGAGTGAATGGAGCAAACACTTGCTGGTTTCACAGGCAGGTAGATCTGACAGTCATCAGCATAGTAATGGAATGAAAGACCATGTTTTCTCAGGATAGACCCCAGTGGGAGCAAATAAAGTGAGAACAGAAGGCGTCCAAGAATTGAGCCCTGTGGGACCCCACAGGAAAGAGGCAGTGAAGCAGATACATTATTATGACACAAAAACTCCTGTCACTCAGGTATGAGGGAAACCATTTAATGCCGCACCTATAATCCCAATTCAGTGTTCCAGCCGCGATATAAGGATACTGTGGTCAACAGTATCAAAAGCAGCAGTAAGGTCCGGGAGTACAAGTACCACAAACTGACCAGAATCACCAGAATATCATTACAAACCCTCACTAATGCTGTTTTGGTGCTGTGAAGTTGTTTAAAACCAGACGGAAAGATCTCGAAAACTAAAGAAGCTAAAACTGACAAAAAGACAGTAACGTAAAAGCTAAAACCAGCAAAACAGTGGCTAAAAGATGTCAGGATCAGGACTGAGGGTTCAGCTGCTGGTTCTGGGTCAGCATCAGGACTTGGATCACTGCTGTGCACATCTTTACTTGTTGCGAGAGAAAAACCTCAGCTGTTTGTTGCTGCTGTCGGCTCATTGTGACCAGTGTTTGGCCTGTTTGTGAAAACCTTCAGCTGTTTGTTGCTACTGTCGGCTCATTGCTATGAGCGTTCAGCCTGTTTGTGACAACCTTCAGCTGTTTGTTGCTGCTGTCGGCTCATTGTGACCAGTGTTTGGCCTGTTTGTGAAAACCTTCAGCTGTTTGTTGCTGCTGTCGGCTCATTGCTATGAGCGTTCGGCCTGTTTGTGAAAACCTTCAGCTGTTTGTTGCTACTGTCGGCTCATTGTGACCAACATTCGGCCTGTTTGTGAAAACCTTC